AACACGTGCCTGTGGTGTGGCCGACTGTGGTGGAGGAGGCAATGGTGGCTGCGGTGGTCGCGCCGTGTCAATACCCAATGCAACAACATCAACAGTAATAGCAATGTTAGTTGTGGTGGTGGTGGGATGTGTGAAGCAACGACTTGGTGGTGGTGGTGGGGGTTAAGTGAAGCAGCAATAGTAGTAGCAATGGTGGTGGTGGTGGTGGAGTGCCGACATTTGAGAGTGAAAGGTGGTGCGAAATGAAAAGGAGGAGTGAAATAGTGAAAAAAGATTAAGCGGGGAATTAAAACCGGGGAAGGGTTTTATTTTTAAGATCCCGCTTTTTTTTTAAATTAGCAGCGGTTTGAACCACTACCCATTACATTTTTGGGAGCAGTTCAACCCAACCGCTTGCCATTTGAGGTCTGATTTTTTTTTTTTGGGGTGGGTTTTTGTAGGGATTTCGAAGCGGATTTTAATAACCGCACCCCATTTGGGGCTTTCCATTTACCTTTTTCTAGTAGTGAAAGTTGAAGAGTTTATGGACTCCGAAATGCATTATGAAGTAAGTTAGAACCCTTATTTGAGACCAAATTATCTTAAAGCCTATTCCGATTACTAATTAGGCCTAAAACGTGTTCATACATGTTTATCTTGATTAAAAAACGGACCTAAATGCGTCAAATGCAATGATTGGATCAAATAGATCTTACATTGTTGAAAATCGAGCCCATCAGAACAGTTAAACACATAATATCCGTTCAAGGCCTATATAGATGGATATCCTTTTCATAGATCTTTCCAACGATATATTATAATCCCAATTCCGAGTTAAAACAAAGAAGCTATCATCAAAATACTAAACTAGGCCCTAAAACCGACACCCTTGCACACAAACGGCCATATCTTTTGATCCATAAGAGATTTTAACATAATTACAATGACATTGGAAAGTAGACATTTAGAGCTTTCCAATGATATCTTATTTTCCTTAATCCAACTTCGTAATCAAAAGTTATGGAAGTTTTAAAAACGCGTTTTTGTATAAGGCAAATAGCACCGCGCGCAACTTCCACAAATGTGCGTGCCAACCGCGGGCAAGTCCCAGAATTGCGCTCGGAACTCCAGCGCAACTTTGAGAGTTGCGTGCACCTCCTGACGCAGTGACTTTAAAACCCTAAACCTAGATTCCTGCGCCTATAAATAAGGGTCTTTGTTAGCCCTAATTACAACAGAAAAATCAGAATTAAAACCCTAGAATTCTAAAAACCCTAATCTCTCAAGTTCTTTATTACTATCATACTACTTTTCCCCTCTCTTCCCAAATACCCTTCAACCCTAATCCATTCCATTGAAGTCCTTGGAGGTACGAAGAAGGAGGGAAGTCCATAAACGCCCAGAACAAAGATCTAGCAAAAAAGGAGAATAGCTAGTTTCCTGAGCACTTAGTTAAATCATTTTTCCTTTCTTGTTTAAATAACTTTAAACAATTAATTAATGTTGTTTGTTCACTTTGAACGGTTCTCTAATTAATTAATTTCACATAGTATCTTGCGTTAATTAAAGACTAGAATCGAATAACTCAATTGTTGTTTTATCACCTAAGTCAAGGCAGATATTGTTTTTTTCTTGTTTCTTTCACGAATTTAATAAAAAAGAATAACGACATTCAATTCATTGTAATGTAGAATTTTTGTGATTAATGCTTGTAAATAAAATTAACAAGCTTAGTTTTTAGGAATCGCATTGCATATATTATTTGGTAATGAAATTGTGAAAAGGAAGAACTAGTAGAGGTCGCACTAGGGCTAGGATTGCGATTCTCAAAGAGAACGTTTTTCTAGTACCCTTGCTCCCGAACTCATTTCTAGTTTTGTAGACCAATTTGGGCATGGGTAAACTTATGATCATGATTAATATCCCTTGAACTCTACTTGGGAGAAAGGCGTGAACGAGGCTTATGAGTTTTTCTAAAACTCATTGGCGACTCTCTATTGTTTACTTATAAAAAAAAGTAATTACAGACTCAATTCTAATTCAAGGTCTTCCAAACAGTCAGGAATTCAAATCTTAACACACCCTAAAAAGTGTAAAGTACTAGCCTTTTAAAGGGCCAAGGGCATAAAGGAAATGAAATCCCCAACGACGGGCCACCCACCTCACACTCGTCATGCCTTTCGGCCTCACAAATGCACCCGTCACATTCCAATCGTTGATGAACAATGTTTTCCGACCTTACCTTCGAAAATTTGTATTAGTCTATTTTGACGATATTCTTGTGTATAGTAGAAACCCGAAGAGCAAGAAACTGGTTTAAGAGAAGCTGGCAGCCCATGAATTGTATGTTAACATGAAGAAATGTGAGTTTGGGCGGGAAGAAATTGCTTATTTGGGTCATGTGATATCTCGGGAAGGGGTAACAATGGATAGAGAGAAGGTAAGAGTCATTCTTGAGTGGGAAGAGCCTAAGAACTTGAGGGAGCTGCCTGGCTTTCTCGATCTTACCAGTTATAACCGAAAGCTCGTGGCACGGTATGCCTTAATTGCGGGTCCATTGACAGCTTAATTGAAAAAAGATAATTATGGGTGGTCACCGGATACCAGCCAAGCATTTAGGCAGCTCAAAACGGCCATGTCTACAACCCATGTTCCGGTATTACCCGATTTCAGCTTTGAGTTCGAAGTCGAAATAGATGCGTCAGGGTATGGACTTGGAGCAGTTTTGATGCAGCTAGGTAGGCCCGTGGATTACTTTATTAAATTGTTGGTGGTTCGAAATTAGGCCAAATCCACATACGAGAAAGAATTAATGGCCATTAGTCTCTCGATGATTATTCGAACCAAGGACCAAGATTTAGCCTTTTTCCCAATAGGACGTGGCCCACAGGATTAAGTCGGGGTGACTTAAGTGGAGAGCGGCCACAGGGGTGTTATGTGACCAAAGCATTCCCTTACAGTTGAAGGGAAAATTCTACAAGACTGCCATAAGACGAGTGTTTCTCTATGGTTCAGAGTGTTGGGCTTCTAAGAAGGAGCACATAAAAAAGATGGAGGTTACGGAAATGCAAATGTTAAGGTGGATATGCGAAAACACTCTAAGAGATAGAATTAGAAATGAGGTTATTCGCAAGAAGGTCGGTGTGGCAGGCATTGCAGATAAACTAAGGGAAAATCGTGAACGTTGGTTTGGGCATGTAAGACGAAGACCCCAGGGTGCACCGGTATGAAGAGAGGAAGAGTGGGACCAAGGAGGGGTTAAACGAAGGAGATGGAGACTGAAAATGACTTGGTTGGAAGGATTTAGGAAGGATGTGAAGTATATGGATTTGCATGAGGATGAGGCATTGGACGTAAGGGGTGGATGAGGAGGATCTTTGTCAATGATTACACGGAATAATCAAATTTGGTTCATGTAGCCGACCCCACTTATGGGATTAAGGCTTTGATTGATTTATTAATTGAGTCTCTCGATGATGAAATTGAAGCATTATTTGACGGGACGACACTTCATAATTAGAACAAACTAACAAAGTCTCTGTTATTTGTCATTGCAAATGGGATTCGACTTTGAAACTCAATAAAAGCCTAAACCTACAAATCGGGTAGCCAATGCTTTGTCTTGGAAGGGTGGGCCAACTGTGTAGTTTAGAGCTCTCATATCCACCCTGAGAATCAATCAGGAAGAGTTAGAGTAGGAGTTAAGGGGGGATAAGTGGATGACTGACCTGAAGCAGAGTTTGAAGAAGGAAAATGGAAGGCTAGCTGGGTTTTCATTAGTGGGGGACCGGGTCATGTACAAGGGGAGACTTGTGTTACCTAAAAAATCGCAAGTTATTCCCTTGTGGCTTCGGGAATATCATGATTCGCTAATGGGAGGTCATGAAGGAGAGGTGAAGACCTACCTATGCTTAGCGGGTGAGTGGTTTTGGCAAGGGATGCGCAAAACGGTAAGGGAATATGTTCAGGGTTGTGAAGTGTGCCAACGCAACAAAACTTCTCAACAAAGACCTTTGGGGTTACTTCAACCACTCCCTATTTCGGAAGCCATATGGGAAGATATATCCATGGATTTTGTGGAAGGGTTGCCCTTGTCTAAAGGGGTGGATTCAATTCTTGTGGTCGTGGGGCGTTTATCAAATTATTGCCATTTAATTTCTCTTAAACATCCCTAATGCATTGAGGGTTGCGAATTGTTTTATAAAGGAAGTGGTTAAACTACATGGCTTTCCATCATCGATATCAGGATCAAATTTTCATGAGTCAATTTGGGAAAGTGTTGTTCCGACTTCAAGGTACAACACTCAAACGGAGTACAGCTTACCATCCTCAAACGGATGGCCAAACCGAAATTGTGAACAAGGGTCTTGAAGTGTACTTACGTTGATTTGCTTCTAGTCTGCTAAGAACATAGGCACAATGGTTTTCATGGGCAGAGTATTCACACAATACTTCGCCGCATACGGCTACTAAAATGACACCCTTTAAGGTTGTTTATGGGCCGGAGAGACCCTCCTAAACTTTGGAGGTTGGCGCACAATGGTATGGCAGTGGACAGTTTGGAGGAAGGGTTGAAGTAGCGTGATCTGGTCTTGGATGAACTTCGTATGAATTTGAATAGAGCATAAAAAATTATGAAAGCTAGTGCTGATCTTAAGCGAAGAGAGGAATCATTTGAAATCGGGGATAAGGTGTTCCTTAAGTTGCAACCATATCGTCAGCGTTCTCTTGCAAGCCGACCCTTTGAGAAGCTTGCAGCACGTTTTTATGGTCCATTTCAGGTGGTGAAACGAGTTGGGAGTGTGGCGTATCAGTTACAATTGCCAAAGGGTAGTAAGATCCATCTGATCTTTCATACTTCACAGCTTAAGAAGGCTATTGGGGTTGCTTCAACTAGTCCAACCTTACTGAAATACCCCGTATTTTTACATATTTTAAATTATTTAAGTATAATTTATAAAATATATTTTTAAGTGCTCAATTATTTTAATTAAATATTTTAAAGGGTTAGAGTATTTTAATTATAAAGTTTTATAAAATTAAAATATATTTTACACTAAACGTTTGTTAATTATTTGGACTTGAATTGTTTAAATACTCGTATGTAAACTATTCCTACATACTCCTATTGGACCCACCTTATTTCATTTAAATAGGCCCAATTTTTTTATATGAACCCTTGTGGGTCAAATATTTCATAACTCAAGCTCACTTATTTATTAAACCCAAACCTACTCTCTATTCTCTACTCATAAATACCTCCCAAAACCCCAAAATTTCCCACACAAAGAGGCTCAAAATCAGATTTTATCAAATTAATTATCCTTTTCTTTCTTTTTCTCTTTTCCTCCTTTTCTTATTCTTTCTTTTCCTTTTCTTTTGTTCCCTGATGTGTGCTTGAGGTTGTGCATGGGTGCCTTCCACCTTGCCACATCATCACTTGATGCACCACCTACCACGTCATTCCTACCGGCGACCCGCCTCATCACCACTACCGCACCAACGATCAGCCGGCCAGCCACCTTGGCCGTGAGTTCTCACTCACTCCTCCTTGTTATGAATTACTACTCTTATAATTTATATTTTGGGTTTTTGATTATAAGTGTTAAAATATGATTAGTATGTTTTATAATTATGTTTTGATTATTAAAGAGTATAAATTTCAGATTTTGTATTGTTTTAAATTATGATTTTTATAAGTGTTAAAAGTTAGGTTTTTAATTATTAAAGTGTTGATTTTTAGGGTTCTAAGTTGCAAACAAATTGGGGGTTTTATATACCCATTGTTTATAACTAATAATTAGCCCTAAAGACTGTGTTTTTATGAAGTTTTGATGAGTTTTTATTAAAATAATATTGCTGGAATTTTTATTTAAGTACTAATTTTGGGTTTTTTATGAAAAGGGTTTGATTACCCATATAAAGAGAAGTATTTTATTGGTTTTAATGGAATTTTCAGATTTGTTTGAAGGGTTTTAAACATTAAAAGTTGTGCTGAGATTTTATTATAAACACTATGAATGAGTTTTTATTTTGTGGTTTTAATTACCCTCTTAAAGAAAGAGTTTTGAAGGTTTTAAACCAAAATTTCAGCTTATTAGATAGGTTTTAAAGTGTTTAAAAGTTGGTGGAAATTTGTGTAATCAAGGGATTAATTGAGTTATATGCTTGGTATTGTAGGAGACCTTAAGTTTGATTGGTTTCTACCATATATTGTGGCTAGTTGGAAAGACGGTCTAAGGTATGTATGCGCGTAGGATGTATTACTTACGCGTAGTACCATGTTAGGAAGTTAAATTTGGTATCAAGTAAGAAATTGGTATCATGTTAAGTTGTTGTTATGATACTAGGAATGATTGATTGATTATCTATGTCTTATATGTAAGCATGTGAGTATGTTGGAATTATTATTATTATTATTATTATTATTATTATTATTATTATTATTATTATTATTATTATTATTATTATTATTATTATTATTATTATTATTATGAGCTTGATACAAGTTGAAAATAATTGAATCATGTTATATTATTTATTATTCATCATCAAGAAGTCATGTATTTAATAAGTAAGGCTTATGTTTATTAAAGGAGCTAAAGTTATATTTATTGAGCATGATTCATGATTTTATTCTCACCCATGTATTATTGGAGTTGAGTCAAGAAAGTTAGTTTATTTATTTACTCACCTACATAAGTTGAGGTCGAGTCAAGGAAGTTAGTTTATTACTCACTCACATAAGTTGAGATTGAGTCAAGGAAGTTTAATAGTGCATTTCATGCACCAAGGTAGTAATAGTGCAATTTTGTGCACAAAACTAGGCAAGAAATCTTAATTAAAATAAATTGTATGTGCTCACTAATTAATTCAATAATAAAATGAAAATATGTGTTGATGATTGTTATGTTTGTTCTTGATTGATTGGTTGGAGTCATCACAAGTTAAGTTGGTAAATCACGTAAAGTGTAAGAGGATACGCACCAAAACTCTTAGAACGTATATACCTTGAGTATGAACATATGGGGGGAGTTATGGGGTTTTATATTTAACCATAGCTTGTACAGGAGTACGGGTGAGCAAAAATTCCGAGTACCCGGAATTGGAACCCGATTCGGTTAGGAACTGGCAGGTTCGGAAACGGAATTGGACCCGGTGGTTCCAATTCCGAGTAATAAGTTAAGGACCCAGTTGTAACCGGTTCCAATTCCAATTCTCGATTTTTTGGACCCGGAACCGGTTAGATACCCAGTTACCCAACATATGTTACACTAAATAAGTTTTTTAAAATAAAATTATGTTAAATGTATCTAGTTAGTAAAAAAAAAAAAATTAATACCTAACATAAATAAAATAGCTTAATGCATATATAAATACAAGTGTTAAACACTAAAAATGAAAATAGAATAAAATATATAAGTATTATAATTTATATTATATTTTAACAATTATATACATAAGTTGGTACCCGAAACCGGAACCGGTACCCGGTGGTTCCAATTCCAAGTCCTAAATTTTAGGACCCGGTTGAACCAATTCCAATTCCGGTTCCGAATTTTAGGACTCGGTCCCAACCAATTCTGGGTCCGTGTCCTAAAATTTGACCGGGTACCCGGTTTGCTCACCCCTATACAGGGGTACAGGACGCTGTACTTTCTTTTATTATTATGTGCTGGAATTCCTTCACAAGGTGACACTAATTGGTACTCGCTTGGTTAGCTCCCAAGTGAGGGGTCCCTTATTATTAAGGGATAGTTAAGGAAGGAAACTCGTTCGATACGTAATCCAAAGCTATTTATTAATAAATGAAATAGAGTCATAAGTCAAAGGTAAGTTGACTTGTGTTGTATGGCAAGCATGTTTTATTTATTTATTTATTATTTATTGTTAAGATATTCATGTTAGTGTGATTGTTCCTATTGGTGCATATGTACTCAGCTTTTACTGATTCGTACTTTGTTGTTTGTATTTGTCTTTTCTTTGGATACTAAGCTACTTTAGCATAAGAGGACAAAAATCATTAATGTTCCACTATAGAGGCAACACAAGCATATGAAGTTGGGAATGAAAAGCAGCAGTGCAACAAGAAAAAGACTATTAAGATAGTACTTGTAATTCAAGTGTTATATAAGGAAAAGGGTAGGAGTAGGAAGGCATGTCTTTGTGAATTGAGATTGACAGCCTAAAGTTGTTTAGAGAGTGATAACCTAAAGTTATCTTTGGCTGGAGAGTGATAGCCTAAAGCTATCAAGTTATCTTGTTCCTTTGAGTATTTTCCCTTCTTTATGAAATTAGTCACTTGCTTGCTGCTATCATTGTGTGTATTGTTGTGTGAGTCAAGTCAGTCCATAAAAAGTCCAACCATGATTATCAAATTGATCTCACACGAGTTCAAGAGATTATTCGAAAATCATCCGATCCCAACATATTGAATATTGTACCAAGCGTCGATAATTGTAGTTATTAATTACTAATAATCCATATACGAGTGCAAACCGTGTATTCACTTCGAGTTGCTTATAAATGACCTAACGAGTCGCCTCAGAGGCAACTCCATAGCCACCGACGCGATAGCTTCCGACTTTAGTTGTTAGATGTGACTCTATATGTTAAGCGATTGATTCACTTGTACTAGATGAGGCGACTCCATAAGTTAATCTCTTGTGTCCCACAAAGATGCGACTCGTAAAAAATAAATCAACAAATTTTTCCAATTCTTTTTAATAGCTCATATAATGTCAATGTTTATGCTACTTAGCATGCTAGATCTCTGATTCTTTGCCATAAAATTTAAAGTTCTTGCCATTATGCCAAAGTTACTATTTATATATTTATGAGTTGTAATATTTAAAATACATTGTAACAATGAACCTATCGAGTCGCGTTATATGTATTAGGCGACTTAATAGGTATTGGTCAAGTATGTCAAATTTCAGTTAAAATTTGATAGAGCCCCTAGCAAGTCATCTTATATGTATGAGGCGACTTGATAGGTTACGAGTCAGTGCCTCATACACATGCGACTCCAAAAGTCCAACTTATCCGCTGATTTGACTTTCTTACAATTTTGATTTTTAGAGTCGCCTGTCTAAAAGGTAGGAATCATTAACTTATCGAGTCGCCTTTATACACATTAGGCGACTCATTAATTAGGTGGGAGTCAAAGTTAATAAAACTCACCTAATGAGTCGCCTAATATGTATTAGGCGACTCGACAGGTTTTCGAGTCGCACCTTATATACACGTGACTTTGAAAATCTATTTTAAACCATCAAATAAATCGTGCTATAGAGTCGCATGCATATATGGTGCGACATGTAAACCTAGGTGCTTTGTTGATTTTAACTACAACGTAACAAGTCCCCTAATAAGTATGAGACGACTGGATAGATTTATAAGTCGCACCTTATGTACAGGTGACTTTAAAAGTCCAACTTATTAGGGATTTTTGTAGTAGTGATTAAATTGAAGTTGACATCCAATGATAGTGCACCAGTTTGTCATTGTGCATAATGTATCCATTTGCAATCTTTAAATAATACACAATACAATTAATAATTTATTTTTTTTAATAAAATTTACGGAATAACCCACGTTTATATATTTTCTAATTTTCTAATTTTTTTGTGGATGTAATTTGTTAATGAGGTGATAAAATATAGAATTAAATTTTTATGATGGATGGTAAAATATTATTTTTTTGGTTTGCAGGGTAAGAATGATTTTAAATTCGGTAAAAATAATTATTATTTAGTAAAAAACAGTAATTTCAAAGAACAAATATAATTTTAGTTTTAGTTAAATTAATTTAAATTTAGTAAAAATAATTAAGTTTAGTTCAGTTAAAAATAAGATTAAGAAAACATGTCCTAAGTACGTAACAAAAGAAAATTTATCTAACAAACCACATCATGGTCAAGGTTGATTGAAACCCCGAAATGGGTACGTACTCAAATATTATAACGAAATGTAAAGACCAATTATTTGGTCAAAGTGTTACATTACTATCAAATGGGTGTTTACAGGAAATTTACTTCATCCATCTTTATTCCAAAATAAAGATCGAAAGATATGGGAAGGTTGCCCAAGGCAATAGATGGGTGCCCCTATGTTGTTGTTATATACATGCCATGTTACACACCCACAGACGCTAGCATAGGATGTTTACAAAAAATTTACTCCTAAACTCTATCTAATTATGCACACAATGCGTGCGTGTGTGAGTTAAGTCATTCGATGAATTATATTTTTTCAGCAAATACCCTAATCAAGTGATGAAAATGATATAAAAAAAAATCATGTAAATGATAAAAAAAAAAAAAAAAATTAAATAATAAAGTAAAATGAGTGTTTTTTGAGTAAAAATACCCTACACTATCAACGTATATCCTTTTCTCCGCTTACAATTAAACACTAATAGGGATTTTTCAGAACTTCGTTGTTCAAAAGGAACCCATTTCTTGGCAATGTAACTATTGATGGGGTTATCTCAGAACCAGATTTGAGAACTTGTGGTAATTTTGCAGGAAATGGAGGCAACACTTCCATGCCAGAGGATATCAACGATTTGTTGTTTGCATCAATTGTTCGGAGAAATTAATGGTGTATATTGCTGTAATGAGAGCAAAGGGATCCAGATTGATGACAAAAGTGATCATTTGTACAATATGTAGCAAGTGGGTGAGGCAAATAATTAGTATTGCTTTGGTTAATACATGTAGGTCATGACAAAAATATGCTGTTGTTGTAATTTGTTGTTATAAGTTATATATATATATATATATATATATATATATATATATATATATATATATATATATATATATATATATATATATATAGGTTTTTGCAATACAAGTTTATTAATAATATGCATTATAAGTTTTTTTGAAAGGTGTTTGCTGTTAGGAAAAAAGCAAAAAAATAAATAAATAAAAAAAATTAGGCACTATTGAGCTCCGGCTTACAGCAAGAACTGGTGCTAAAGTTTTTTCTTTTTGTATCCCTCAAATCTGCACCGGTTCAAAACCGGTGTGAAAGGGGGGTTTTGAACCGGTGCGCATTTGTGTTATTCTACTAGTGTTAATTCCTATTCTCCATCTCACAAAGATTTTATCATAAAATTTATTTGCCTTAAATCATTCTTGATTATTCCTCAAGTAAAGCCATTTACTATTTAATATTTCATGACTACATACTTACCTTATTTCTTCATTTCTTAATCACCATAAACTAGACAATCCTAAATTCTTTAACTCTCTTTTCCAAGTAATTCCTTAAACTAAATTTACCATAATTCTTCCTATAAAATCTTACCTTAATTCTTTCATTCATGTGCTTGTAAATACCCCTTAATACCTCTCATATTCTTCACACCAAAAACTTAAATTCTCTTCTTCTCTCTTCCTCTTCTTTTCCCTCATCCTTTCCTACTTTTCTTTTTCTCTTTTCTAAAAGAAAATCAGCCCGTATATCTTTGGAGCCAATTTTTGGGTACTTTTGATTAGTTTTGGAATTTTTCTATTTTACAGAAAATTGTTCCTCTCGAAAAATCCTTAAGTTTAGGCTCAAGAATCACCCAATTCAGAGTTATATTAAAGAAGTTATAGCCTCTGCAAGTTCTGCCTATTCTTTCCAACGCAAATTCAATTCTCTTTAATCCTATTCTTTTATTTTCTTCATGGTTAGTTTTCTAAAATATAAATACTTATTTCAAAGCTATAATACTTATTAATGTATTAATTTTTAAAAGAGTTTTATGGTCCATGCACATTAGATTTGGTTTATGTCTAAAGATGTTGTGATAACCTTATATTTATGTTAATTGCAAGGTGTATTCGTGATTGAAATTTGAAAATGCGAAATGTTGATTGAGATTCGAAATCAAGGTACGTTTAGGTGGGTAGATACCTTTGAAATAAGATGAGCAACAATTTAAATGGAGGAGGAATGATAGAAATTAATTGGGATAGGAAGGCTCTTAAAAACTAAAATGCTAGTCTTTGACTCTTTGTAACTTTGTTTCCTTTTCTTCAACTAGAAGAGTTGGGAATCATGTTGGCCACTCTTTAGCTAAGTTAAACAAGAACTATGATGAATTTTTTTTCTTTTTTTATTTTTATTTGAGGATAACTATGATGAATATAGAGTTTGGTTAGACAAAAACTTTATTATTGTACATCGAGGTAACTTTTATTGAATTTAGGGTAACTTTTAGACTTTTTAGGTAACTTTTATCAATAAAGAATAAATATATAACTTTTATTTATATCAGCGTAACTTATATATACTGGGTGATTAGGGGGACTTTTCCCTGTCGCGTGGACCAATCAGAGTCTTCCACGTGTCATCCACGTGGACTAGTCAGAGTCCGCCACGTGTCACCTTGTGAGAGTTCCAAGGTGGACCAATCAGGCCACGACACATGGCAGGCAGATAGCCAACCAGGAAAGCTAGCCTTTTATGGCCCAAATTCTCAGGCAAAGCCCAGTCAGCCCTAGGTTTACTAAAACCTAGTACTAGGCACGTTTTCTAACACCCTATAAAAGGGAGATGTTTCCCTCGGAGGAACAGCGATTCAAAAAATATTTTAATTCACATTAACTCTCCATCAGAGAAAGTTAGACACCTGACACCTCGAACTGAGCAATTACACATTGCAAATTCTCTCTTGGAATCCTAGAGAGACCCTTTACTTTCCGCACTTTACTCCTCATACACTTTCTAACTAGATCGTCGGAGGCGGAACTCCTACCCACCGGAGTCTCCATTGTTTTGCAAGTACAGGCGTCCAGAGGTCAGTCTTGGAATTGTAACTCTCCCGAAAGACATCAAAAAACCCCGAAACATTTGGCGCCATCTATGGAGAGAGTACTTCAAAGATGACTTCACAAAAACTTGTACCACCTCTTAATGAGAAACAGCCTATGGCCGAAGTCCAGGTCTACTCAGACCAAGATACGGATGACGACTATGAAGTCGCCACCCATATGGCCCCTGACGGGTCTCTCAGGACACGGCGCATTCGTCCCACCAAAAGGAGGGAACGGAACACTGACCAGGCAAGCCCTAGCGAAACAATCGGCCAGCCGGCTAGACAGCTACAGGTGGCCAAAGGATCCACCCCCATCACTAGAAACAAGCTAATAACCCTCATGACAAGTTTCAAAGCGGAGATAAAGGATCTTATTGAAAAGCGGATGGTTGTTCCCGCCAAGGAACAGTCGGCCAAAAAGCCCTCTCATTCTGGGAGGAATAAGTCGGTCAAAGACCGAGAGGCCACTCCTTACCCTAAACCAAGGGAGAGACAGAAGCC